ACATCCCAGGGGTAAGAATTGACAGTATGAACAGGATTGTAAACACATGAGATTACCCCAGCTTTACAAAGTGTACACTTCCCTTAGGCAAAGCAGTTAATTAAAAGCTGTAAATGTTTAAAAGGTAGCAGTGAGAAGCTTTGAATGAAGCACATTGAGAGTGTGACATTTAGAATACAGATTTCTCTCCAATCTCAGAGCCAACTTTGGGTCTATTTTCAGCACTTCTTTTCAGCTAAGTGTATTTTACTGGAATCAACATCATAGCCAGCAGCTGATCTGCAGGCTCTCCCTGTGTCTTTACTTTAATCTCAATTTAATGTTGAAAGCACGATAATAAAACCTGCTGCCAAGAGACATAGACCTAACTACAGCATCAAGGACATAGATGTTTAGCCAATGCCTGGCACACACTAACAGATGTCTTAAGGGCTGGTTTCACTGAACTATTTACAGTGTAAGCATGCTGTCAGAAATACAGAGCTGAAGTTGAGGAAATTCCTGTTTGCAGCATGTGAGATAGATGGATCCTTTACAACAGCAAATGATGCTGCTAAAATGCTACAATGACACAGTAAATCTTACACAAATCTGTCTGTTTTCTATTGCACCCAGTGAGATGCACATACACACATATATTCGCAGTTGCACACGGACACACAAATCTTGCTGTGGGTCATGAGCATTGGCCTGGAATGACCAAAGAATTGGCCCTGAGCTCTGTGTCTAGAAATGGATAGAAAAGAAACAGACAGAAAGCATCAAATACATAAATGTGGAGAAATATAGAGAGGAAGGGAGAGAGAGGCTGAATGAGAAAGGAAAATATTAAGAGTCAGAGATATATTCTGGCTTCCTAAACAGGACGAGATAAATTGGCCTCACAGCAGTTGGTGTGTGAAGCATCCAGCTGACACAAACATACACACACACACACACACACACACACACACACACACACACACACACACACACACACACACACACACGGTTCATTCATGCTTATATTGTCTCACTGAGTTAGTCCATCCCCATATGTTAGTTTGCTTCCCTGCTCATTTCTGCAACTTATCTGATGATGACCCAAAAACAACACAGGGATATAACTGAAAAACTGAGTAGCATGCCGCCTTTTTAAGTAGACATATAACTTCATGATGTGAAGTTGTGGTGTATAGTACGAATAATCAACCTGATGCACGATATTTCAGTATGGTCTCATTATATTTGTTTTTGGTTTGCCTTATGATGACAAAACAATCCTGAGTCACATTAGCAAAACCTGGTAATTTAACGTACTATGTAAATTCAGACTGATGACATAATACATCTCTTATAACATTTGCATATTTTGTTTTCCCTTGGAGCATGAAATGTACCCACATCCTCTCTTTAGAAATTGCTTTCTCTTGTCTATTTTTATCCTACACCAGTGGTTCCCAACTTTTTTTCCTTAAAGGACCCACTTTCTATCATTGAGTAAACTGACAATCCCTGACGAAGTGACATATTTTATGGATATTTCCTATTATATTCAGTGCTTACCAATAAAACTACAGAACAACTGATAAACTGTACAAGGAATGAACACAATAACTACAGGAAGTGTGTATTTTTAGGTCTAAGTGTGACGTCATACTCAGTAGGCTTTTTTGGTCAAATTCAGTGTTTTATTCAAATTGTTCTAGTCTTGTGTGAGGGCTAAGTGAGTTTGGGTCTTGAATAATAATCATAAATAATATCATAATAATAATCTAAACTTTAACAATTCCCTTTCCAGAAAATGAAGAACATGCTGAGATATAGACTTACTGTGTTTATTTTTTTAGGTTTTACACCCCTTAAAAATCAAGGACACCATGAAACTCTGGTGACCCCTAGTGGGAGTCCCGACCCCTAGGGACTGTTGTACAACATGATTCCCTTCCTGACTTCAGGTACCTGGAATTTGTTGTTTTGTGCCACCTGCACTATTTGATATGTAATACAAATTATGTATTAAAGAGATAACTGGGCTAAATACAAAAAATAAGTGTTGTGTTGAACATATTCCTATAAGATATCATTTGTTTCAGGGGTTAACATACATCGATTCATTTGGCTCTGTCTGCTGATAAAACTTTAATCCTCTGAGAAAGTGGACAACAAGAAAATTGAAGGTCAGTTTCTCTTTCCATGTTATGTACCAGCGTTTATTTGTGTGATATTTTGACTGAGTTGTAATTTATTTTGTACAGTTATTAAAGTTAATATATGAACATCATCGTGTTAGCAATGGTCAATATAAAGACAAAGATTTATCATGTTCTCAATGGTAAAGATGTGTCTTTCAATATTATATTTCACAAAACAAAACTCACTTTCTTACTTTCCCTGCATATTTTATATATATGTTGCAGTGGGATTTTGCACGAAAGAACAGAATAGAAATTGAATTTATGTGTTCTAATACTGATTCCATGCTTTGACCTCTTGTTCTCTTTAATAAAACACAGCAAAGCTCTGCATGGAGGAGAAAAAGCATTATATCTAATCACAGTGTTAAGCACTGATTTCAGTACACTCTAAGAAATGTTCCAATTTGACAACTCAACATGGGAGCCAACAGAAACTATTTCCTTAGCAGTGCTTCCACAATAAATTCACAGAGAGAAAACGTATAATAGCTGTTATTTCCAATGTTATCTCCCTCCACAGGAGAGTAGATGAAGGGAACTGAGGAAATGTGGTTCTGAATAATTCCTTAACAAATGAAGCAATGCCTGTTCATATCAACTCATGCTCAACAAGAGGCCGATGTACATCTGAACCACAGTACAAAGTGCAAGATGAAAAAAGAACCTCACTTTGGTCCTGGGATTCAAAATGTAAGAGATATTGAGCACTAAATGCAAGACAGCATACTACACTTTCACTCTATGCTGCTTGAACATCACATTATGTCAGACTAGAAAATCACTCAGTGTGTGGGTTTTCATGTGTGTGTCTTTATGTGAGGGCAAGAACTTCCAAACAGCGTCCGGATGTGTGAAGCAAAGACGGAGTGCATGTTAAAGTGCCTGTTTGTCATAGAAAATAAGCACAATGTGTTGTTATTGCAGAGACATCAACATGCATATTGCATGTGGCAGAATGACAAAACACAAGCAGGAATGTGCACACAATTAAAGAGACTGCAGCCCTCCCCCAGACACACTCACACACTGACACACACACACACACACACACACACACACACACACACACACACACACAATACAAAAGTCCAGATGGAAGTAAGCTTAAACTCCGAACAGCAAAGTGCAGATGTTTCTGCTGAGTCAAAGCTCAGACAAAGGACGTTGAAGATTGAACCAATGTATGTTTAATCTGGAAATTAAACAAATACATACACAAAATGGTGCTGGGAATGTAAATGTACTCAATTGTTTGAGGGTAGATATATATTGTGCATTCAAGGAAACTTTAAAAGTGCTGTAGTAATGATGAATGATGTATTGCTGAGTCTAGGCATCTGTCAAAATAATGGATGCTCTGGAGTTGCTGAGAGATCCATTGCATATTAAAAGCAGGCAGAATACATATTCCTGCCATGGTTTAAGTCCACTCAGTTTCTTTGATGGCAGTCAGTTTACCCGAAACCACTGTGAGCGGTACATATAATTAATCAATTTTCTAAAATCATAACGATTGAATTGACCCCCAAGTACTGTTTACATATACTGTCTGTGTGTGCCTGACCCTATAACCCTGCAGTACCTTTCCAATTAACATTTTTGTACTGTCCATATTATTTGACAGACCCCATCTTATCATAGCTGTATTGGCTGAACCCATCCCATCCCATCCCAAAACACCCAGCTGTCACTCTCATTAACTGCCTTGACCAGGTAAAGTGCTCAATGTCAAATAATTGCCTGCAGCTACATGACAATAAATCCCCCAAAGTCCCCCAAATTCTATTCAGGGCAACCATAATAATCTTGGCAATCTGTCAATAAATGTTACCCAGGAGTCCTGTTCAAGTCAAAAAGGTTGTACAGAAAGTTGTCCATGCTTTTATTTCATTCTCTTTGGACTTCTGCAACTCAGTTTCTTCATGTTTAAAGCAGATCTGCAGTTTGTCCAAAATAGGGCAGGATCAAATTCAGGAAGGATGACCACATTACCTCCATTTTAGACTACCTTCACTGGCTACCAGATGATTTACAACTTTACTTTTACTATTGTACTAATTACTTTCAAGGCTACATTAAGCTGAGACTCACAAGCCAGTATCTAAATGCTTCACTCAATAGAGACTGAGGACTTTCTATTAGCTATTGTAACACTGTCGTACCATATAACATTGCTTGGGACATCCATTTCCGTGTTTTAAAAAGTTCTCTCTGTGTTACAAAGTGATTCGCTTCATATTTTTTTGACCATGGAGGAAAGCATGGTTTCAGGTTAAGGTGTGTCCTTGAAGTAAGTAATGTTTGCTCTCGCAGTTGTTGAAGCAACTACTTTGCATTTAGAAATCTCCAGACAATTTGTAGGCGCTGAGATCTCCAATTATCTTGTTTAGTGACTAGAGGCGACAGAGCCTTTACCGTGTTTTAATCATCACCAGTCCCCTTTTAACTGATCCTATCCTCCCCTATCGTATTCCTCCCCATTCAATGCTTTCTCACACTACTGTATAGAATCCTGTCCCAAATCATCCAATCTCATTCCATCCCATCCTGTCATTCCCTATCCTATTGTTAATGCATCCATCCATCAATCTGAACAGGTAGACACCATACCTTATTTCTGGCATTAGAGATTCATGTTCCTCTCATACTGCCATCATGTGCCAAAACACATTTTGCTTTCTTAAATCTATAGGCTATCTGAAATGAATTCAGATTTAATTTTAAAGTAATGCTTCAATTCATAACATTTCCCAAACCACAATGCAAAATACATGTGATATATTTTCCATCCATCCATCCAACCATCCATGCACTGTGTCCTACCTGTGACTTTGAGTTGTGTTGTCCTCCGCACCAGTCTGGATCCATACTTTAACTCACAGGTGTAATTTCCCCCGTCGCCTTCCTCCGTCTCAGGAATCCAGATGTTTGTAGTGTTGACTGTGATGGAGCTTCTCCATTCCACCCTCTCACACTCCTGACAGAAGACAGACCGATCAAGTTACAGTACACGGGTCTACAGAAGACTAAGATATGGTTAGTCTAAACTTTTTTTGTGTGTATCTTACCTTATACCAGGTCATCTGTGGTTGCTTGTATGGAAATAAATAGTCTTCTATATCTGGGCAGTTGATCATTTTACTATGGGTTATCTCAGCTTTCTCCAGATAGCGGATCTTGCTGCTGAAGCATTTCCCCTCATCACTCTCCTCCACAATCATCGACATGGACACTTTCATGCAGTATGTTGAGTTCCTGGACAGATTAAAAACACAAATTTGGGGAAAAAAAATATTTTATCATGTTCTTCTACTGACATTAGCAGACTTTTAAACTTTGTGATATACAAAGTTTCTGAGAAGTGCAAAAAAGTGAATAATCACCAATCAAATCTCCACATACTAATGTAGATGTGAACTACTCACCATCACAAAAATAACACATAAGATTTGCTGTCTGTATTTCTAAGGCAAGTCAAGCACCCTCAAATGAATCTGAGTGGGTTTGATTTGAGCAAATTTGTTTATCCAGTCACAAGTTAACAACAGCAGTGGCATGAGTCACTCCTCCATTTGTCCAATGCTAGACCTCTATGTGAAACAGTGTAAGAGCTGTTTTCATGGTGAGTATTGGGTAGCCCATTTGGCACTGTTGTGGGTATTTTGGTGAAATTATAGGCCCTCTGACATCTCAGTGTTTCTTTGACAACATTGAAGGAATTGGCATCCAGAAGAAATTACAGGTTGTACAACCTCTAACACACACAAACAAACACCATTTCATAAGAAATGAAACTCTGTAAAGGAACAACTTTAGGCAATGTTGAGGAAATAGTTTATTCCTTTCACTGCATGTAAACTATTTTGGCCATAAAGGCTTGTGTTGACCGATCAGTCTTCATTCTAGTTGAGATTTAAAATTTCAGGATTTGCTCATCATGGCGAGGAATAAATGTTGGTATGTGGATTTATTAAATGACCAATAGATTTCTGACCCTAAGAAACTAAACATCTGTGCTCATAATTACAGAATTCTATTGTCAATCAAGAAGAAAGAAAATTGCAACTCACATGACTATGGAAGCTTACCACAGACTCAGAGCTGCTTAAATGAGAAGCTGCAGGTGGATCCTTGTTAAGAGGTGGGGCATAAAAGTGTTCTTTAATATCTAGTCGTAGTGTTTTCAAACTGAGCAAGGAAGCAGCAGCATGGCAGAGCTAAAGAGTATGGAGTGCAATGCCCCTCAAATCGACTGCTTTTCAAGGTGTATATTGAAAATATGCTGCTGTGAGCAGAACACCTTGTCTGTCTGAGCCATTTTAACTCCATTGGCCTTTTCTCCACACCAGACATTTCCTACATGCCATGGTAGGAAAAAGTGTTACTAATAACATTAACGATGTGCACTGGTCTATTGAAGTGTCCAAGCAAGTCTGACAGCCATCATTAATTGCATTATTCACACATGTGCTTTAAAAGGCTGTGTATCCTCAAACTGCCATGGTAAGAGAGAGATTCTGGAATTACAAGAAAGAAAGACATTTTCTCACATTTAGGATAATGCTAGTTGTTTCTCTGCAAGCATATGCATATTGACAGAGCCACTGTGATAGATGATGACTACTACGACTACCACTATTAATCCTTAAGTCACATATGACTATTACAAAAAATTTCAAGCAAATGTTGACAGAATGGTGACAAATTGGTTAAACCAAGCTTTAAAAAGAACGTGCTAAACAGCAGACAGACAAGTTAGCGACTAGCTGGGGAACATATGGAAGCATTTAGCAGCAAAAAAGTCAGATATGTCCCTCAGGAATTAGGAAACCAAATGAGAGCTAAGAGGAGAGTGAATATTTCACTTACATTCATCAGGTACCCAAAGACACGACTCTGGTCAAATGCTTATGTTGCTCCATGACTGCTGTATGTGTAAACTCTTTACTAATGGGCTATTTGCCATTACCGTATGAGGTTATAATACATTAATGCTTGGTGTTACTCAACCCTGTTCTAAAGTCTGCTTATTCTCTACTGCCTAGTGTTTGCACACCTGATAAACTGAAGCTCTTAATTGGATCAGGTGTGTAATAACAGAGCTGAAGCAATAACTTATAAGACAGGTAGGCTCTATGGACTGTGGGTTGAAAAACACTGCGTCTGTCCCAAAAAAAGAACACTTGATTATGTCAAGAGTGAGTTGTTATTTTTTATTGGTACTATGTTGGAGGTTAGAGCTCTTTAATGTCAGCAAGATAACTCACTGCATCCTGCTGTTATGATGTTACATGTGTGTCAGCATGTCCTTGAGCCAGATTATCTAATTAAATGAAAAAGAACAGACTTTGAAGTGCGCTATGATAGGTATGATGCAATGTGTTTTCAACATTATTTTAGATTTAGGATCTGCTCAAGGTGATTGTAATTGTTTGTGTGTTTCCCAAGTTCATCCCAGACACAAAAGACCACATTGATCTTTCTCTCTCTCTCTCTCTCTCTCTCTCTCTCTCTCTCTCTCTCTCTCTCTCACACACACACACACACACACACACACACACACACGACCCACCCATTGTCCCCTAACCACAACCTCTCATCTAAGTGGATCTAAACCACTTATCCCATCAATGCTATTAGTCTATGTGGGTGTTTTTTTTGTGTGTTTGTGTGTGTGTGTGTGTGTGTGTGTGTGTGTGTGTGTGTGTGTGTCTTACAGGGGACACAGGGATTTTTTTAGTCATTGACCTAACCAAGACCACCGAGCATTGAACTAGAGGCCTGGAAAGCCTTTTATCCATCCATCCATCTCTCAGTTTCTCTCTTCCTCATCAATCCATCTCCAGCCTACAGCATCTTGTTTTCTCCTCCAGTGATTCAGTTACCTTTTCCTGTATGCTCCTGTGGCTCTCTCTCTCTCTCTCTCTTGCCTTTTATTAACCCCTAACATTATTTTTTGCACTCCACATCACAGCCATGGTTAATTTTATGACAAAAAAATAAACACATGAATACATAACAATAAAACCGTATCTGTTGATAAAAATGAAATGTGAAAGACAGACAAATGAACAAATGGATTACTCTTTTATTTCATCTTATTCAACGAACTACATGCATCAGGGGAACCACACATTGTATGCTCCTGATGACAGTTACGTTAGCTAATGTTATCATTAGCTGCAAAGACCTTTGCAGTAAATGCATCCTGTTCCTTTAGTGTGTACGTTTGATCTTGTACCCCTTTTTTTACATTAAATATATAATAGCCTTGTATTGAGTCTGTGATTATTTGTCCTTTTACGTGACTGCAACCAACTCAACTACTAGCTTTATGAATGTGCGATGACATAATCAATATGCACATTAGCACGTGATGTCATCTGGCAAGTTTTAGTGACTTAGGGAGCTATTGCTAACTACTTTCACTGAAGAAGAGTTGGCAACACTGCATACCAGCAAACAGAACATTATTTAAATTTGCTATCGTTTGAATATGTGATATGCAGGCTGTTGACCATCTAAATCTTCCTCTATGTTCCCAAAAGGAACCATTGTAAAATGTTTATATATGTTTGAAACGTGTCACAGACAGACAATGTTAGTTGGCAAACATGGTGGATCATTAAGCAACCCCAGATGGAGTTTGTGAAGACCAAAATAGTGTTAAAAGGAGAATGAATATTGAACTTATATCCTCCAGGTGGCCAGAAATACAACTTCAAATGAATGCTAATGTTGCTATGTATCTGCAGGATATGTAAATGAGAAAGAGTTTGCTAAGACTTTTTTCCATAATCATTTTAAAAGATGATGTGCCAATGCTGTTTTTACAGTGGGACTCCAGGGGAGCAAATAATCAGTTATTGCAGGTTTAATCTTATCTGAAGTTTTAGCTGCTCATGCTAAACCCAGACAGTGAATGTAATTTTAGTGAAGTAGCCTAAGTGAACTTGACTTAACTTTCCAGTTCACAGCGACAATTTGAGACTTACTTGGGACTTGAAAAGCAATGCTTTTATGTGAACTCTACTTGTAAGCAACAGAGTTTATTCTGTGTATGACTTTACATGATGCATGAGGATTATGAATCATGTGGTAAACTTCCATATACACTATTAAAGCTAGTATGTGATGAAATATCTAAATTCAAAGCCATTCAGATCCTCCCTCGCAGAGGCACTGACGCAAACACACTGGCGTACCCAATAGCTGAAAGGGATTTTATGTTAAAACATTCTTTTATCTTGTTCCTTTGATGATATTGTTCTATACATTCATGCCAGTATTGCAGACTGAACTGAGATGAACTGAAATGTGGAGAAAAAAAACAGCTTTTCTGTGTTTTTCTCTCTGCTACTTTTTCTTATTTGTCACTGTTGTATTGGCCTTTGTCATAGCTCCCCCTCTGCCTGTCCAACACAGAAACCAGAAGCCTAACACTAAATGGTAAAAGCAGCATCTATGTAAAGAACAATGTATTATGCATATCTCACTGTAAACATGACGATTTAATTAGACTGCAATGCAAACGCTGTGTCAGAAGCATTTAGTGCATGCTGTGCACCTCTTACGGATGCAAATTGTGTGTCTGAGTGTGGGTGTGTATTCATATCTGGCTCTGTGTGGAATACATTGAAATGCTTCAGTTAGTAAAATGGCCCTGGAGTAAAAGACACTAGAGTATTTAATGTGCTACATGCTAGAGCTGAACATTTGTTACTATTCTGTACTTTAATGACAAAAAATGCACCTAAAATAATGAAGTTACCCTGCAATAGCACCACCAAGGGGTGGCCAGGGAGAACCATGGCTGTGGCTGCCCCTGGCCACCCCGACTGAAACTGCAGTTTTTCTAATTTACTTCTGTTAATTAAGGATTTATTGCAACTAAAGCAGATTTGGTGGTTCTTGGAACAGTGAAAAGACTAACAAAGACTGTTTTGGTGGGTTTTATTTTGTTTCTGTTCACTTTGAATGAAGTTACAATGTTTTTATTGAGTCTGGTATCCGTAAATAACCCACTTAAAAATGTCCTTAAAGATTTCTTAGAATAATAATCTGTCAGTGGCAAAAACAAGCACTTTTAGTGGATGACGGGGGCATTTGTCCAAAAGGAATAATATTAACTTATGTTGCCCTATTCACAGATATTTACAGATATTACATTGGTAATTGTTGGACTTGTTCAATTGGTGGAAAGCTGTTGTTACTGTCTCATTATTTTGGTCTGAGATGCTGCTTCTCAAGTACAA